GTGGGACATATGTATCAACACGGGAAGAAGAATAGGAAAGATTTGGTGGATGGATGGGAGAAAAGGGGGAATAGGAAGAGGACAAACAGGAAGAGGAAGGTGGGATGAAAGGAAAGAGTATTTGGAGTAATGACTGGAATGGTGGGACTTTGTGGAGAATGTGGAGGCCTACTATGATGGAAAATACCTAGGATCTACAAGAACAACCCTAGTAAAAACTCCTTGTTGTGAGGGATAGGTATCCTGAACCAGTCATCTTCTGCCACCAAAGATTTCTCGTCGTGGGAGTGAGATCACAATCCAGCCATAAAATATTCAACCTACAGCCTGTCCTTCCTGAAATATATATGGGGTTAATGGTGGAACAGAACTTATGGGAGTGGCCAACCAATGACAGGCCAAAATGATGGAGGAAGGTCATTGGCTAATAAAGAAACTGGCTTGGCCCATCTTATTGATTAGAACATAGGTGGGTGGAGTAAACAGAATAGAATGCTGGGAGGAAGAGGATGTGATCTCAGAGACTCCATAACTCCTCTCAGAGACACATGCGATGAAGCTTTGACCCAGGATGGACATAGGCTAGAATCTTCCCGGTAAGTGCACCTTGGGGTGCTTACACACATTATTAGAAATGGGCTAGTCCAGGTGCGAGAGTTAGCCTAGAAGAGGCTAGATAGAAATGGGCCAAGCAGTGCTTAAATGAATATAGTTTGTGTGTTGTTATTTTGGGGCATAAGCTAGCCAGGCAGCTGGGGTGCTGGGGACGCAGCCCAGCTGCTCCAATTACAACAAAATGGTGCCCAGACGTGTGGACAATTGAATCCACTGAAAGCCTGAGAAAGCTTGGGAAAGAGTAAAGCATGTTTACTTGGTAGCAGCGATTTCTCGGGTCTGCTCTGCTTGCTAGAGACGAGCAAGCACTCTCATCTAAGAGAGGTTTCCTGACTCAGCTTTAGCTGCAAATCCCTGCAGCTCATTAAGAGGTCCTGCCACAAAACACTTAAACAGTGTTGATGAAAAGCTGAATGCATGATTTTCGGTTTTCACCTGTAGCAGGAAAAAAGCTGTGCCATTTAAAAATATTGGCTTTCTGGGCTGTCCTGCCAGGGCAAACTCTGACTGAGGCAGGAGAGCTGACTACCAAGAGAGGACTTGAGTGTTGTCTGTTGTAGATCGCTTGATGGCAGGGACCTTGAAATGCCATAGAGTTGTGGCAGTAAACATGGCTACAGCCAGTACCTTAGCCATGAGGCTGGAAAGCTAAGGAATGGACTGGATCTACCTGGCAAAGCCACGGCTTTAATCCTACTCATATTGCTCAGTAATTTAAAGGCTCGTGTGGTCAGAAAAAGAGAGCTATACAGTAAAGAGATTCAAAAACAAAGAAAATTTCTAAATGGTTTACAGTGTGTTAAAAATATATGCAAGCTAAAAGTTAAAAGTTCTTAAAAGTAAAAGAGGAAGAAAGGGGGTAGTTGGGTGTGGTAGTACACACCTTTAATCCCAACACTTGGGAGGCAGAGGGAGTTTGACCTCTGTGACTTCAAGGTGTGGTAGCACACACCTTTAATCCCAGTGCCTAGAAGGCAGAGACAAACAGATCTCTGTGAGTTCAAGGTGTACTAGGATACACCTTTAATCCCAATGCCTGTGAGGCAGAGACAGGTGGATCTCTGAAAGTTCAAGGACAGCCTGGTCTACAGAGTTATTCCAGGACAAAGATACAGAGAATATAAAACTAAAGTAAAAATAAATGATATAGAGTTAAAATAAAGCTGCATAAAGATGAAAAATACACAGAGAATATTGATACTGTATGCTATTATGCTCTCTTTGAATTGTTTGAATGCTGAGGAAGGAGCAACAGATACTAAAAGACATTTGTTTATAAATGCTGCTGAACTAATCCAACGTAGAGATTTTGAAAATGCGTTGACTTTAAAATTTGGATCTAAGGACATGATGCTTTGGAAAGGAGTTTCTTATTTTGTTTTCAGAAAAGGTGAGAGTCTGTGCATTTCTTCTATCCGAATATGGTATGATGGACCACGCCCTCCTGAAGGGTTGCTGTAAACATCTTCAGAAAATTTCTTCGCTCAACTGCCAACTGAGATGAAACTAGCACACAGGTTATACCATGAAAGACCTAATTAACAACACCCCCATTCAGCAGGAAGCAGTTTAGAGAGAAAAAACTGTGCCCATGTTCCCAAATATGGTTTATAAACTTTCTTTTACATTTAAAGGGGAATATGATATAGATATGAATAATTTGCATTAGTATAGATTTTGCTTTATTGATAGAAATTTAAGGTCAGTTTTGTTATATGTATATGTATTTCTGATCTTTCTTAAGGTATTGTGATTGTGTAGTTCATTTAAAAATGTAATATATATAGGTTGTTAATGGATAATCATCAATAATAGTCAAGCTTGTAGTTATGTTAGTTAGATTTTCTAGATGTCCATAGATATATTTTAGATAGGCAATCTTCATATCTTTCAAAGACTACAGAATAGGACATTTAATGTTTTAATAACTTAGGGTTTTTCATGACAATGAGAGACTCTGCTCCTGGCAGCACCAATCTACTTCAAGAAGAATATGGGCATCAAAGAGGATCCTTGTGGAGTCTGATAGCCATTTGGGCAAGAAACTGCTCTTGCCTGGACTATTGCATAAACTGGACACAGAGAACGCACAGAGAGAGGACTACTGAACTTGCCTAAAGGTGAGATGATCTTTCAGGGTTCCTGATTCATGAAAGAGTCTGCAAGACATTCTTCAGGACAAGCAGATAGTGACTGCCTTTGAAATTTCCTGCTT